TTGCTAAGTGAAAGATAAACATAATTTTGTTCAGTGAATCATGACAGTTGTTAAGTTAGTAACCCGGTTGTTAAATGAATCTGGTTTCCCCATTGACGTTGCTTGTCACAATGTCACAAAAGGGGATCACATGAGCCCAATATACTGCAACTGTCATAAATGTGAATCAGTTGCCAAACATCCGAATGTAAATCATGTGACCGTGGGAATGCTGCAACGGTCATAAGTGTGACAAGTGGTCATGTCACTTTTTTCAGTACCATTGTAACTTTCAACAATCATTAAGTGAACGTTGTAAATTGAGGACTGCCTGCATTTCACAATCACATGATTATGGCGTGCTGCAGATGTCCATAAATGCAGACTTGGTGCCAAGCGCCCAAAATGCGGTCACATGATGTTGTAACCTCAGAAATGATCATAAGTAGCTTTCGATGATTGCTAAACAGCCAGTTGTAAGTGGAGAATTGTCTGTATTAATATTTTATATAAGTTTGCAATTAGAATAGCCTCCCGCCGCCGCTGCTACCGGTTCGCCCGATCCTGGGTGAACCGGTAGCAACCCACCACTGAATAGTACCATAAAATTATATATCAATGGAAAGATAATGTAATCAAGAATGTAATGCAATAACTTTTATGAAGAATTTGTTATTAGAATAATAAGAAGAAGAATTAGAAGAAAAGTGAAACACGTAGAAAAAACAAGATATACAAAAATTATCACCATATCAATTAATACTTAGTTGGGTAACTGTTAGCATGAATTATGGCCTTACAACGTCTTCCCATGCAGTGAACCAAGTCTTTTAGTTCTGCAGCTGTTATAATGTGAAACCAAGATTGAAGGATTGCTTCTATTAACTGGGTTTTATTGCTGGGTCACTTCTGATTAACAAGTTTCTTTAGTCGGCTCCATAGATTTTCAATTGAGTTAAGGCAGTAGTGGGTTGCCCCCGTTTTGGACTGGTTCGCAGGAACCGGTAGTAAAACCAGTGGGAGGCTCCGCCCACTGACCCGGATGTCATCATAGGTGATCTGTGCATGTGCAGAAGTTTCTGTGCAGGCGCAGAAGAGCCCACGCAGGTGCGATACGAATCGGTAGTAAAGGTAAGTAGAACCCATCCCTGGGTTAAGGTCTGGGCTATTCCCAGGCCATTCCAGCAGTGGAACGTGATTATCTTGAAATTCCCCCAAAAAAGTGGTGTTATTAGCCATCAAACCTCAAAAATACACTTTTCCCAAAAGGTTTCCACAATTTTAGCCACTACTGTAGCAGATACAAGGTAAGACTTTCAACATCAGTTTGAAGGTCTGTCTCCAGACACACTGGATCTGCAAGGCATGGGCTTCCTGTACTGGGAAAACACGCCTGTCCATGCAACTGTTTTCCTGTGCTGGCTGCAGAATTACTGCATCCTGGTTCAGGATGGTTGGGGAGGGCTGGGAGAGAGCAGATTCTTCCTGGGCCTTTCCCCATGTTCTTGTTTATTCATTTCTTTTCCCAGCTTTGAGCCCACAGAGCTGTCATCTGGTGCACCCTTGGAGCCTGCTTCAACACAGCAATTTGCAACCGAGGACTGATTTCTTTGGACTAATTCTTGTGGCTGCTTCCACATCAAAAGCATTTGCGGGAGTGACTCATCCATATGGTTTGCTCACATGAGTGCAGGGACAGCAACTCCCAGAATTCATCCACCGCCCCCAAGGATGATCACATGGCTAAAACCATTGGCATGTAGCGTTTCCTGTGTATGCGGCCACAGGAATGGCTCCAAACATCATGTTCCAGCTGCAGAAGTTAGAAAGGGGCTCTTTTGAACACGAGATAATTAAACATCAGCAGTAATCTCCTAATCCACAAGAGCTGGGCTGTTCCTAGTTGTTGCTGGGTTGCTGGGCAGATACTTTAAAAGAAGCCCCATCACTTAATTCATAGGGTGTCTGCTGTAAATTTGCTGCTGTCCTTTTGTATCAAGTGTAAAACTGAGTGCAGACAATTAGAACATAGAATAATAGAGTTGGGAGGGACCTCGGAGTAGAGATATTCTAATTCAATCCCCTGCACAAGCAAGAGACTTTATATCATTTCAGATAAATGGTTATCCAGTCTGTTTTGAAAACCTCCAGGGATTGAGTACCCACAACTTCTGGAGGCAAGTCATTCCGCTGATTAATTGTTTTCACTGTTAGAAAATTTCTCCTTAGTTTTAGGTTGTTTCTCTCCTTGATTAGTTTCCATCCATTGTTTCTTGTCCTGCCCTCAGGTGCTTTGGAGAATAGTTTGATTAATTCAGCAATCCCTTTGATTTCCTAGCTGTTAAATGCCATGTCTGCTCTCTAAAATAACTACAGGTAGTCCTTGATTTACCACCAGAATTATGACCAGAATTTCCATTGCTAAGGAAGATTGTTGTTAAGTGAGTCACACCTAATTTTATGACCTTCTTTGCCACTGCATTTTCTTTCTCTTTCTTTCTTTCTTTCTTTCTTTCTTTCTTTCTTTCTTTCTTTCTTTCTTTCTTTCTTTCTTTCTTTCTCCATGCCACCCATCTCATTGCTACAGCAACTCTATATTAAGCAAATCACGGCAGTTGTTAATGACTCATGGGGTCGTTAAGTGAATCTCGCTTTCCCCATTGACTTTGATCATGTGACTGTCGGGATGCTGTCACAGTCATAAGTACAAGGACTAGTCATAACTTACTTTTTTCGGTGCTGTTGTAACCTCAAACGGCTGCTAAACGAACCGTTGTAAATCGAGGACTACCTGTAAAAGAAATAGGCAAGTAAATCACTGGCCAATTGAAAAAAGAAAAGAAAAGAAAATCCAGGTTTATTTAACATATTTTATCTTACCTTCCCTGTAGACTCTAGGCAAGTTAGGATCAATACATCATATGTTGTAAAACCCCAACAATAAAATAGTTAAATAACTTCATGTTGGCCAGTCCCCAAAAGATATTGTTAGCCTTACACACTGTTCTTTCCAAAGATCTTGCAGAAAAGCATGATCTTCCCGGTTTTCCTATATGACAGCAGAGAAGGAGCTGTTCTGACCTTAGGAAGCCAGCTGTTCTGGAGTGAGCAGGCAGTGATTACGAAAGCTGGTCTCTAAGGTTAGGAACCTGTAGTATGTCCTCATAGCTTGCACGTATCATGTGGGCAAATACTACTAGGAGGCAGTGAGGACCAAAGTCATTTTTGCACATTCAGCCACATTACAGATAATCATCTATGGAGATTCTCAGTCATCCAGTCATGGTTGTCCCAAAGGTGCTTTTTTTCTCAAGAGGCAACTGGACTTTCTAGTTTTTTTCTTTGAAGACATTTCGCTTCTCATCCAAGAAGCAGAAGCTGATTATACAAATCTTTTTTTTAAATAGGGTTTTAAACAAATCATGGTAATTGTTAAGCAAAGCACTCTATCATTAAGCAATCCATTCACTTTGTTTGTTGGAAGCCTGCTGGGAAGATCTCAAAAGGTAATCACAGGACTACCTGTAATATGTTAATGTTTAATTAATGCACTCAGTACCGAATGAATGAATGAATGAATGAATGAATGAATGAATGAATGAATGAATGTGCCGATGATGGATCTTGAAGGTTTTATTCTTTGCTGAAATGACTTTTGATGTTTTTCTGGTGAAACCGGTCTGTCAAGGCAACTTGGTCTACCCAAATATGGGATGGAGCATACTGCTTCTGCTTTCGCCTTTCAGCTCCAGTCCAGGAGCCTTCGCAGGCACTCACTTCTGCGACAAACTATTTTGTGTTAAATTTAAATTTACCGACAAAGAAATAAAGGGAGACTAATATAGCTATTTCAAGCTGTTTAGCTCTCTTCAGATACTTTTGAAGAATGTTGTATAATACAATGAATATGTGCTGTTACATTCCATTCCCAGCTTTTAATAGATAGATGGATGGATGGATGGATGGATAGATAGATAGATAGATAGATAGATAGATAGATAGATAGATAGATAGAATTCTTTATTTGCCAAGTGTGATTGGACACACAAGGAATTTGTCTTGGTGCATACGCTCTTGGTGAAAAGATACATTCGTCAAGAATCATAAGGTACAACACTTAATGATAGTCATAGGGAAACAGTCAATATAAATCTTAAGGATATCAGCAACAAAGTTATAGTCATACAGTCATAAGTGGGAGGAGATGGGTGATAGGAACAATGAGAAGATTAATAGTAATGTAGACTTAGTAAATAGTTTGACAGTGTTGACGGAATTATTTGTTTAGCAGAGTGATAGCGTTCGGGAAAAAACTGTCCCTGTGTCTAGTTGTTCTGGTGTGCAGTACTCTATTGTGTCGTTTTGAGGGTAGGAATTGAAACAGTTTATGTCCAGGATGTGAGGGGTCTGTAAATATTGTTACAGCCCTCTTTTTGACTAGTGCAGTATGCAGATCCTCAATGGAAGGCAGGTTGGTAGCAATTGTTTTTTCTGCAGTTCTAATTATCCTCTGAAGTCGGTGTCTGTCTTGTTGGGTTGCAGAACCAAACCAGACAGTTATAGAGGGGCAGATGACAGACTCAATAATTCCTCCGTAGAACTGGATCAGCAGCTCCTTGGGCAGTTTGAGCTTTCTGAGTTGGCACAGAAAGAACATTCTTTGTTGTGCTTTTTTGATGACGTTTTTGATGTTGGGTGTCCATTTTAGTTCTGAGATATGGTAGAACCTAGAAAATTGAAGGTCTCTACTGTTGATAATGTGTTGTCTAGTATTGTACGAGGTGGTTGTATGGGAGGGTTTCTCCTAAAGTCCACCACCATTTCTATAATTTGCACTGTATTACAATTATTACATTTCTAATAACTTTGCACTCTCTGAAGCTCTCAAATTTGATTTTATGTTCATGTCCTTTTGCTTATTAAGATGTAAAATATTTTATAGTATTTCATTTTATGCTGCTTTGGCACACATATACTGCACGAACTTTTTTTTTTTAAAAAAATCTTGCCTTGGATTCCAGATTTATTTTGCAAGAGAAAGACTGCATTTGAACGCTCCTAGATTTTCCAGCTCCTATGGTTGCCACAGCTTGATTGGTGAGTAACTGTATTAAATGAGTATATACTGAGCAGCCTAACATGGATAAAGCTTTTTCAATATCAAGAAAAGCATAATGCATTTTGTCCATGCAAAAGATAGAGAGGCACACATCAAATTATTTGCTGGTCGATTGGTGACACTCACCTGCATTAGCTCTGCACAGCAACTGCATTTGACTTGTATGTTTATGATGTGATATTCAAGGCTTACTTCAAGTGTTATTTCATAATGGTGAGAATGGATTCAGGAATCTTTAACTCGGGATTGAGTGTAAGGCTTCCGTAACTTTAATCACAATGAGGGGAGGGGGGAGGTTAAGGTTGAAACAGGAGAGTCAAAGGAAATGGGGGGGGGGCGAATCCTATCTCACACTAGCTAGTTCACTTCACAGTTTAAGTAAACAATTCTCATATTCAAGTCATGGGGAGGGGAAGTGTGTCATATAGAGGTGCCTTTCTGCTGCTATTTAGATAGTAGCTAGATGCCTAAGGATTTTGTATGGTTCCTAAATTATTAGTGCAAAAAAAGTCTTATTTAATTTTCAGTAGGAGGTATAAAAGCTACCAATTAATCTAACTGTTATTGTTCTTCTGGGCATGAGGAAGACATTATTTAAACAAATGGTTTCTATTACTTTCAATTATTATTATTTTTTTTTAAAAGGTTTCTCACCACCACACCACCCTCCATGGAAATCTTAGCCGTCTATCAGCTGAAAAGTATACTTTTACTTTGCCCAAAGAGATAAAAAGAGTCATCCAAATCTTTGCTTGAGATGGATTTTGCGGTTAAAGTACACACATCAGAGAATAAAAATGTGAATGAGGAGATGGGTCAAATGCTTTTCTTTTGTGCTCCAGTTGATCAGCGTGGGTCACGATGCTCTCAGGATTTTGAAGGCCAGCAGCTGGTTGGCTTCAGACTACTTTTGAAAGCTGGGAGCAGTGGAGAAGTGCTTTGAGTCTGATAAGATGGTAAATTGACTTGAGATATCATGAATATAATCCTGACCAGACAATTTGACCAAATTAAGGACAGAGCAGAACTGACTGACAGTAGGCTAGTATCTATCATAGATATCTGAGCCAATTGTAATAATATCAGCAAATGTCTCAAATGCCTCTTAAGCTGTGCAAAGACAATTGCCCAACTAGAAAGTATTATTTGGTCAATCTTGTTGATCTAAACAGAATTGGGTCTGAATATCACCTGCTTATGAAGCCATTAGGCAATCCCAGAAGAATAAGCTACACCAAAGTTTCTCTACCTCAGCAAGTTTGAGATGTATGGACTTCATTTCCCAGAATTCTCCCGCCAACTATGCTGCCTGCAAAATTTGTCAAGTTAAAGTCCACACATCTTAAAGTTGCTGAGGTTAAGAAAACTAAGCAAGACATTCCAGAAAAAGAAATGGCAATCCACTATTGGAAAAGGCAATGGCATCCCACATTTGCATTGTTACCAAGAAAACGTCATGGATGTGTATGTGATGTTATTAGACGTCAAGTTCAACTCAAACGAGAATTTATCTATAGTGGAAGAAGATGGTTCCAATCATCTTAAGATATTTCATCTTGAATAAGTCCTATGGAGATCACCGCACTGTTATGACTCAGCTGTGCAATAGGGATTTGGTTCCACCTCCAAGCCATCAGTTTGCATCTAGTCTCACCTTGGTTTTGGTTAATGAATCTTGGGGTGCTATGAAAAGGCAAAGATACTGAAAGCTGGAAGTTTACCCATTGCTGGATTAATGAGATTTCCCAGGATGTGTTTTAGCTTCTCTGATAAGAGTTCCACAATGTGTGATGGAGGCTGTAAGTCAGGAATGTCAAACTCACGGCCTGGATGCATCATGCGCTGGCCATGCCCACCCCCGGTTTAGGGAAGGGGGGAAAAGTCACGATACGTCATGTGACGACAACGTGATGCTGCACGTTTGACACTCCTGCTCTGGTAATGCTGAAACCATGTGTTTGATCATTCAAAGCTGTAATTTGAAGGAATCTTTTCCAGATGGAAGAAGTGTTAAGAAAAGGTGGGAGGCTCCATGGAATTTCCCAAAATAAATTAAGAAGATGCAGAACTAAAGCTTTGGAGCTCTGGGTAAGCAGCAGACGAGCAGGTGAATCTTTCGATTTTCTCTTGAAATGGAGACTAACATTGATAAAGGGACAATTTGTCCAAGTAATTCCAGGCATATTGAAATAAGGTAACCATTGTTACTTTTTGAAAGCTTTATTGTGTTTTGAGGAAGGCCAGATCAAGAGATAGACATCACTGGGACACCAGGAATGCGACATTGCCTCTTTTTAAAGAAAAACAGTAACAGTAACAGAGTTGGAAGGGACCTTGGAGGTCATCTAGTCCAACCCCCTGCTCAGGCAGGAGACCTGTACTAGGGATTCGAACTGGCAACTTTTCTGATCAACAAGCTCAGTGTCTTAGCCACTGAGCCACCTAGTCAGGCTAAAATTAACTAAAGATTAAGCAAGGCCTGATCTGAGTTTTTTTCTCACATTTTCTATTTCCCCAGGGCTGAGCAACCATTTCACCTCAGCCACCTCTTCCACAAGGCCAGAGCTAAATTCCTCTACAGTGTGAGAAATTGGCTTGGATTCCTACATCAGACCAGTCAGCAGAGGCAACGTTCAGGGATTACAGAAATACAGATAGTCCTTGACTTACAACCGTTCAAAGTTACAATGGCCCTCAAAAAAGTGACTTGCGATTGTTTTTTCACACTTAAGACCACTGCAGCATCCCCATGGTCAAATAATCTACATTCAGATGCTTGATAACTGGTTCATATTTACGACGGTTTCAGGGACCTGGGGTTATGTGATCTTTTTTTACAACCTTCTGACAAGCAAAGTCAGAAGGTTGTAAAAGAGGATCACATAACCCCCGGATCACTGCAACCGTTGTAAAGCAAAGTCAACGGGAAAGCCAGATTCACTTAACAACTGGGTTACTAACTTAACAATTGCCATGCTTCACTTAAGAAATGTTACAAGAAAGGTCATAAAAGGGGGCAAAACTCACTTAACAAATGTCTCACTTAGCAACAGAAATTTTGGGCTCAACTGTGTTCGTAAATTGAGTTATAGTACTTTAAACAATCTAGAAGTTATGATTAAGCCATATTTTAATTGTATTGAATCATTCAATCTTTGCAAACGTACATGTCAAGCTTAATCAGAGTGGCAGGTTTTGTGTACTATTTAGTGTAATGCATTTCAGAGCATTGCAATGGTGAAATCCAATTATTTTTACTACCAGTTCTGTGGGTGGGCAGGGGAAGGATACTGCAAAATCCCTATTCCCTCCCCATTCCTGGGGGAAGGATATTGCAAAAACTCCATTCCCACCTCACTCTGGGGCCAGCTAGACGTGGTATTTGCCCGTTCTCCGAACTACTCAAAATTTCCGCTACCAGTTCTCCGAACTGCTCAAAATTTCTGCTACCGGTTCTCCAGAACCTGTCAGAACCTGCTGGATTTCACCCCTGGAGCAGTGGTATCATACATGCTATCTATGGAACACTGCTAAAACGGAAGAGCACACAATTTATATAAAGCAGGGAAAATCAAGTCCAGATTTTCCGATCGGTGTTGCGAAATGTACTGTAGGGTTACGAAATCTGGCTAGCTCAGGTTTTCTGCTAAAATTAGAGAAATGGACTAGAGTATGTAGAAAACATCCCTGGAGGGAGGGAGGGAGGAAGGAAGGAAGAAATTTTTCAAAGTGCAGACATGCAGGGATGATGTCTTGAATATGTACTAACTTGCTGGCAACACATTTGGATTAAAATATATCAAAAATAGTAGCAAGCAGAGTTGCAAGGGGCTATTGATTACCCCAAATATGTAGTTTTTCATCTATCTCTTCCAACTTCTGCAAATACAGAATGTATTACCGTTGTTCATTTTTGAAGCACTGCTGAGCATCATCTGCCTTTTGGGAAAATGTATCAAGAAATGTGAATAATATTTATGAAATATTTAAAATGAAAATAATATTTATTGTTTTTCTAATATTATAAATATTATTTATTATTTTCCACCTACTAGTAAATCTTGTCTAGTACATCCAGAAATTCAATTTCTTCTGAGGTATTAATTTATTTGGGATTCCCTGGGAATCATGATAATTTTCTTTTGTTCTGTAGGAAGTTAGCACCCATCCCTCTCCTAGGAAAATGAGATATTTTAGGAAATATTAAAAGGGCAGAATATTTCCCCTAAAAGGGAGGCAGAAACTCATCCCCCTCCCACTTTTGTCAATGAGCCATTAAGGCCTGGGCCAGTCTATTCAACATAACAAAGATCTACCTCCTTCAGGCAGAGCCATAGTAGGAATTGCCCAACGCCCTTTCATTACATCATCACCCAGCAAGATTCAACCAAACTTAACACATAGCCAACCTAAAAAGCTAGCTATGACCTCTGAGAGCAACCAATCAGGATATTCTTCCTGTGCCCCAGGAAGTTCAAAGCCAGAGAGGGTATAAATAAAACCCAAGGACTCTAAACATGTCTTTCCCTTTTTGCCCAGGACCTCAAAACCATGTGATTCTGTCCACCATTAAAAACCATCTTTCCAATCAGCCACCATGTTTCCAGTGTCTTTCTCTCCGCTTAGAACGGAACCCAGATGGACATTTCTTCCAACAATTCGATACAGGAAGAATTCATTATTATTTTTCTTTTCAGCTGGAGCACCTTCTTGTCTTCATCATAAAGGGGACTGAAATAAGTTTGGTGGAAGGAAGGACCAGCTATTGAAGTTGATGTGGAGGATACACGACGATCTTTCTAGTGGCCTCAGAGGGAAACCTCAGCAGCTGGAAGAAAACAAATCCTTGCTATCCCTCTAAATTCCGTCCTGTGGGAGAGGGAAGGGTTACTTTTTCTCAGTTTTCACAGTCAAAATAAAATCTGCATCTCACTTTGAATCAGGGAGGAAACCAACTCAGTAAGAGAACTGATAAAACTGATAAGCTTGGGAAAAGGAATTAAAGGCCTGTATTTTTTCCCCCTGTTTTTACTTTTTTAAAAATAACTTTAAAAGAAGTGGTTTAACTTTCCTCTTCAGAATCAGATTGCCAGTAGCTCTAGCTCGCCTGGTGTGTTGCTCTGCCGTTAGCTTTGTAGAAATTGCTTGATGTTTTCCCCATGTATAAATGCAATCATCTGCCAATCCCTGCAGATTATAGTATAGGCAGTCCTCAATTTACAACCACAATTGGGATCAAAATCCCGTTTCCCCAGTGACTTTGCTTGCCAGAAAATATGGCCGAGAAGGTTGGAAATGGTGATCATGTTACCCCGTGACATCACAACCAGTGGTGAAATCTAAAATTTGTTACTACCGGTTCTGTGGGCATGGCTTGGTGGTGGTGGGATAATGTGACTGGGTGGGTGTGGCCAATTTTTTTTTTTTTACTTTTACAACCATTTTTTCTACAACCTCTTCGGTGAAGAGGTTGTAAAAAAATGCTTTCAAAAGGCTCTGACGATCCCAGCTGAGTTGCCTGATCGGCAGAGGCTTTTTTTCTTTTAAATGCCTCTGACAATCCAAGCTGAGTTGCCTGATCGTCAGAGGCATTTAAAAGAAAAAAAAGGTTTTTTCTTTTAAAAGCCTTTGACGATCCCAGCTGAGCTACACGATCATCAGAGGCTTTTTTTTTTACTTTTAAAAGCATTTTTTAGGCCAAAGAGGTTGTAGAAAAAATGCTTTTAAAAGTAAAAAAAAAAGCCTCTGATAATTGTGCGGCTTAGCTGGGCATGGGGGGGTGGCAGGGATTTTTGCTACCGGTTCTCCGAACCACCCACCGCCATCGCTACCAGATCGGGCGATCTAGTCCGAACCAGGAGCATTTCACCCCATCATAAGTAAAGTTGCCAAGTGGGCCTGGTGGCTCAGCAGACTGAAAGCATTGTGATTAACACCAGCTGCCTGCAATTACTGCAGGTTCGAATCTCGCCAAGGCTCAAGGTTGACTCAGCCTTCCATCCTTTCTAAGGTAGGTAAATTGAGGACCCAGTTTGTGGGGGCAATAAGCTGACTTTGTATAAATATACAAAAGAATGAAGGCTATTGCTTAACGCATTGTAAGCCGCCCTGAGTCTCCGGAGAAGGGCGGCATATAAATCAATTTTTTTTTAAAAAAGTGCCTGAATTTTGATCACATGACCATAAGGATGCTGCAACGGTTGTAAGTGCAAGAACTAGTTCTAAGGCACTTTTTTTAGTGCTGTCATAAGTTTCAACAGTCACTAACCAAATTATTGATTGTAAGTTAAGGATTATCTGTAATGTTTAAAAATTTGAAATTTGCAAAGCTGGATTTTAAAACATGTCAGCTTGAAGCATTGATATGAAGAAAGGAGAGCCTATATTTTGAATTTCAACCATTCTATAATCTGCAGTCTGATGAGATCACACTAACCTAAATCCTGAGTGATGGAAACTCTTATGATCAGTACAAGACAGATAGAGAAAATAAATTCAGCATATACAGCATAATATGCATAATATGTACTGTGGAAATATTTTAGGAAATATTGAAAGGGACAGAATATTATGTTTCCCTGGATGAGGAATGGAGAAACATGTTTTAAAGACAAAGCAGCTTCCTGCCTCTCCCCCCCCCCCTTTGTCAATGGGCCAGAGGCAGAAACCCAATCCCACCCCCCCACCTTTGTCAATGGACCATCATTTGCAACACAATAGGACAGGGGTGGGCAAATGTGGCCCTTTTACAACCTGTGGACTTCAACTCCCAGGAGTGGGGAGGGAATGGGGATTTGGCAGTATCCTTCCCCTGCCATGCCCACCAACCCACCAAGCCACACAACGCCCACCAAACCACGCCCACAGAACCGGTAGTAAAAAACTTTAGATTTCACCACTGCTTCAAAGATTATTCCAACCTTGCTGTCAAATCATATTTTTAACGAGACAAAGAAAAAAACTGTGGAGTAATTTATTAACTGTATTTAATAAGACTGAATTTAAATTAAATCAAAGTTAGGTTATGTTCTATCCTGGCCCGTCTCTCTGGAGATACATCTTCTTTCAAGGTGTTACTAAAAAGCAAAAGGCAAAACTGAGGCCCACACAGACGCCTGTTTTGTCTAAACAGGAGGAAGGTGCCTGAGGAGACAAATACCTGCACTCAACATTGACCCATTTTAAAAACAAACAAACGTGTGTTCAAACCCAGTACAGGTAGTCCTTGATTTACAACAGTTCATTCAGTGACAATTTGAAGTTACAACGGCACTGAAATAAGTAACTTATAACCGTTTTTCACACTTACAACTATTGCAGCATCTTCATGGTCACGTGCAGTGGTGGGTTGCTCCCGGTTCGCACCGGTTCGCAAGAACCGGTAGTAAAAATTTGTAGTAGTTCAGAGAACCGGTAATAATATTGGCTGGCCATGCCCCTGAACTGGTCCCCAGCCTGGTTGCCACTTGCTTACCCCACCTCATCAGAGGCTTTTTTTTTTTAACTTTTAAAAGCATTTTTTCTACAGAGAACCGGTTGTTAAATTACTTGAATCCCACCACTGAGGACAGGTGTTTGTTTGTTTTTAAATCAATCAAGAATGTGGTCAAAAGATGATAGATTCACATATTCCGCAGGACGTTAAACTATGATTTACAATCCACAATGGCTTTATTTACACTATTTTCGAAAACACAGCCAAACCGCATTAGCTCACCGCTTTGTGAGAATCCAGTGTAAGTGAGTTTGGAGGCGGGAAAGTGACAAGGCTTTTGAGTTGATTCATCATCATCAAATCTGCAAGTTGAGCAGCATCATGAAGCTGCGGGAACTGAAAGGACACCATAGTTGAAACCTTTGGTAAAGAACATGGATATGTTTATATTTCCTGCAACCTACTGCTTCTTTCAGAGGATTTCTTTCCAGTGAAATCATGACTGAAATGTCATCCTTGCAGAGCATAAATTCAGCTCGATAATTCAGTGGCGGTTTTCCAGGTCTGGGATCACAATGCAATCCCTTAAAAAAAAAAAGGACATGACTCCTTTTTTACCGAGTCTGGAATTCCCCCAGAATATGATTGAACTGTTGAACCTTCAGACAGGTCCAGACATTGGTCAATGCGGTAACCAAAAAAATCTTCTTCTATTTGCAATATGTACATTCCATTCAATCTCAGTTCTTCTGACTAACATGCTGATGCGTGCACTTTTCCCCCTGTGTTAATAAACATAGAGCAGCTTCCTTCATTTGGTACCAACCAGCTCCTGGGCCCTGCGTCAGCTGTTTGTAGAACGGAGCCTGATTTCAGATTCTTGATTTGAAGGCTGGGCAAATACAACAGTTGGGAACTTGCATGTACTATGTTAGTGGAAAACTTTATCCTTTCTTAGGGTGCAGGTAATACAGGTAGTGTTTGATTTATGATCACAATTGAGTCCAACATTCCTGTTCCTAAGCAAGACAGTTTTTAAATGAATTTTGTCCCATTTTATGACCTTACTTGCCACATTTGTTAAGTGAATCACAGTATTGAGGTCCGCCGGCGGCCTGTGGAGCTGGAAGCACAGTCGGACAGTGAGGAGGTTGGGGAGGAACATGGGCCAGTCCTGGAGTCATGGGGAAGGCTTGGATGAGGGCTCTGCATTGGAAGCAAAGAGGAGGCCAGGGCCATCTGGGAGCTATGTGCGGACTCCGGAGCCTCCAGAGTCGGACATCAGCGAGGCAGAGGAACAGGGGGAGCCAGTTCCCAGTGCGCGTGTGCGCAGAACTGCCAGAAGGCAAGAACAGTTAAGAGAAAAGGGACAACTTTGGGAGTAGGGCTTGGAGATGATTGGCCCCTCCCATAAGACATAAAGGAGGAGCAAAGGCATGTAAGCTTTTGCAAGAAGCAACTTTGTTCATGCTGGTTGGTTTAAATTCTGAAGCTCCGTTTTGACTCTGTGCTCCATGTGGCCTTGCAAAGCTAATTGCCAATTAGGTCTTTGGCATCATGTCAAGGGAGATAAAGGTGGGTGCTTATTAGCCTTCTCCCGAAGGACTGTGGCAGACTTCTGTCGGACTCTTTACAAACTATTTGTGACTCATTACGGGCTGTGAATGAACAGAATTTACAGCCGTTGAAATAAAAAGAGGGTTTTGGGGACTAATTGTGTGCTTTTTACTCTCTCAGGAAGCCTAGGTCAGAACACACTGCAGTTGTTACCTTAGTAACACGGTTGTTAGGTGAATTTGTCTTCCTTGTTGAGTTTGCTTGTCAGAAGGTCACAAAAGGGGATCACATGACCCCAGGACTATCATAAATATGAGTCAGTTGCCAAGCGTCTGAATTTTGAACACATGACCATAGGGACACTGCAATGGTTGTAAGTGTGGAAAACAGCCATAAGTTACTTTTTTGATGCCATTGTAAACTTCGAACGGTCACTAAATGAAGTGTTGTAAGTTGAGGACTACCTGTGTTGTGCCCTAAGGATAAATTTGTAAGGCATCTTCAAGGATACTCTATCTATGGGTATGGATCAGGGGTGAAATGCTCCCGGTTCGGACCGGATCACCCGATCCGGTAGCAATGGTGGATGGTGGTTCGGAAAACCAGTAGCAAAAATCCCTGCCCCCCCCCATGCCTAGCTGAGCCGCGTGATTATCAGAGGCTTTTTTTCTTTTAAATGCCTCTGACGATCCAAGCTGAGTTGCCTGATCGGCAGAGGCATTTTTTCTTTCAAAAGCCTCTGACTATCCAAGATGAGTTGCCTGATCGGCAGAGGCATTTAAAAGAAAAAAAGCCTCTGCCAATCAGGCAATTCAGCTTGGATCGTCAGGGCCTTTTGAAAGCATTTTTTTTCAAGCTCTTCGCCGAAGAGGTTGTAGAAAAAATGGTTGTAAAAGTAAAAAAAAATTGGCCACACCCACCCAGTTACATTACCCCCCCACCACCAC